CGGGGCAGCGTCTACGGAGCAGCCGAGAGGAAGGCCTGGCAGTTCCCCACCGCCTTCTCCCTGCCCCAGGACTGCACTCCAGAAGCACACTCAAGACCAAGGCAACCGTGCGGTCTCCGCAGAAACGTGCCCGGGAGGCTCGCACAGCACCGGGCGCAGGTGCGTCAGGCAGGGGCAGCCCAAGCGCCGGGAGCGCAGTGCGGAAACAGGCCGTGCTCACCCAGCAGCCTCATTCGGCCCCAGGAAGGGGGCGAGCTGGGAAACACGCCGAGGAGACAGCCCACACCGTGACCCCACAAGGCGCCTGGAGGAGGCCAGCCGCGGGCAGTTAGCAGCTCGGTGGTTGCCAGGGGCTGGGGAGTTGGGGAAGAGGGGGCGGCTAAAGGTGGTGGCGAGTGTCCAAAAGCTTGCCATGGCGAAGACCTCACGGCTCCGCACCCACTGAAAGCCATGGAGCTGGGTGGCTCCAAAACTGTCTGTAAATACGCGCTACCAACTTTAAGTTGTTGTGTTTTTAGCAAACTCTTTTTAAGGGAAAAGAATAAGAGCCCGAAAATGGCTTAGTGTGGCCATTGGGGGTCAGTGGGTGTCCTAGAATGGGCACAGCTGGGGGTCAGACTCATGGCTTGCTGTCACCTCATTCCTTGTCAGAATGCCACAGGGGACATAGAGGAGGGCGAAGGCAGGTGCTAACCCTGAGGAAGGCTGACAGGAGCCCTGCAGCTGGAGCACAGGACCGAGGGCCAAAGGGGCCAGAGAAGGGGCTGCTCGCAGACACCTGCTCAGAGGCTGCAGCTGCTGCAGCTTCCCAGGAGGCAGCAGGGGCAGCGACAGGTCGGCCGCCATGTCTGCGGGCCAGATCCCCAGGTGCACGCGTGAGGAATGCGTGTGGGCTGGACAGCCACTGGGCTGCAGCGTCGAGGGCTGGATGGAGCAGGAGGGGCTGCTGGCCCTGCCCCCATGAGCATGGCCGGGCCTTGGCCAGCTGGCATCAACACAGTCCCCAGGACAATCGGCTGTCAAGGCCATAGGAGGGGCAGCTAGATACAAGACAACACAGGAAATAAAAAGGCCCTCCACTTCCAAGAGCCGCTGGACCAGCCTTGGCCGGGGCAGTCTACCGGCCGCGGAGCCCAGCTCGGGCTGAGACGGCCCTGACACCCCTGCCTGTTTGCTGCCTGTGGAGCCAGGTCTGGGTTTGGGGCTGGTGCGCACACCGCGCGTGCCAAGGTGAAAAGATCACAGCGCGCTGGTCTGCCAGTGCCACTCCAGGGAGACCGTCCTGCAGGACTCACGTGAGAGTCACCGAAGGAGGCCACGGGCCTCGCTGGCTCTAGGCCCATCCGGGCCTGAGCCTGGCTGAGGACCCGCTTCTTCCAGACTCACCACTTCTTATGGAGGCTCAGGACGCAGGGCACGAGGTCCTCACAGCAGAATCCAGTTAGGTCCCACAGCCGGGCGCTCCAGGGCTGTGCTGCGGAGAGTGGGTGGGTATGGGCTGCCACACTGTCGTCCACACCCAGCCACAGCCCCGACGTGCTGGCCTGGGACCCTGGGAGCTGGGCTGTGGGCCCTTCCGAAGGGCTTTGAGGGCCCACACGCAGGTTCCCCACCAGGAAAGCCAGCTCCCCACCCAGAGCCGCCTTTGGCCCCCTGGTGCAGTTCCTTCTCCCGGGCAGGTGGACTCACCATTCTTTCTGTTCCCCTCCCCACCTGCCCTTGAGTGTTTGCCGGGCCCTGGAACCCCAGGAAGGACCCTTCTTACTCTGCCCATGTGACAGTCTGGCTAGGAGCAGGGCGGCGCAGGCCAGGCGGGCTGGAGCGTAGGTCGACAGGCCCGTGTGCAGCAGGGACAGCTCACAGAGGAAGCTGCAGAGGTGCTGCGTTCTTGGGGCCTCAGGGACCAGCGCCAGCAGGACGTCTTTGTAGTCGACCACCGTGGGAACCTAGACAGGGCCACACAGGGTCTCAGTGCTCCTGGGCCCCCCATCCTATGCCATATGGAGGCCCCGCCCCCATGGCGCTGTCTGGTGCTGAACTCGGGCCCCGAGCACGTGCAGGTGGACAGCAGCTGCCGCCTCTTGCTCTGTGGCTTTGGGCACAGCGGAACCTGCCACCCTCTGGGTCCACAAGGTCCCCCCAAGAGCAGGAAGGCTGAAAGCCCCCTTCCTCACCCATGGCAACAGCTCAGCTCTCAGAGGGACGCCCCACTCACGCGAATCTTCCCCTCCAGGGCGGAGACGACCTCGCCCATCATCCGCACCAGGTCCTCGTACTTGTAGGTGTTGTCTGTGAGCCAGACGGCCTCCCGGATGGTCAGGATCTCCTTACTGATGAACCTGGGTGGTGGACAACGGCTGGGACTCAGGGCCAGGCTCTGGGAGGCTCACAGTAAGGAAGGAGGGACGGCTTCAGGCTGTGGTGACAAAACGGCCCAGCTGCCCGTGGCCAATGAGGGGAACCGAAGGGGCATTCAGAAGGTGCTAGAAAGATGGGTCAGCGCCACCAAGCAGAGGACAGTGGTGTGGTAGGGCTTCAGGCAGATGCACCAAAGCCTGCAGGAGGCCTCGTGAGACGCCACTCAGTCCCATGCATGGCCTCAGGGACAAGGCCGTGCCCATCTGGCAGCAGCTACCAAGGAGCAGAAGTGACGTAAACCCAGGAGGTGGGTGAGGCACCAGAGCAGAGCTGGCAGCAAGGGTCTGAAGGCTGCTTAAAGGTCTGCACACAGGACCCCGACTACTGGGGCAGGCAGTCACCCTGTTCTCTTCCGCTCACCAACGCCAGCTCCAGCAGTCCCCACAGGTGCCTCTCCTAGTGAGGGTGCACAGGGGCCCAGTCCATCTGCTGCTTGGTGCTGGGGACTCAGGACTTCATGTTGTCACCAGTCTGACGAAGAACAGAGGCAAGAGGGGGACCTCGCCTGCTGGGGCTAAGGCTTGGACACCGAAGGATGGGATGCAGGACGCCTAGGTGCGGGGAGCAGGGCAGGCGTGGCTGAGGGTGGAGGAGCCTCTCAGTCTGGAAAGCATTTTGGGGAGTTGTTATCTCACTGCTAACTGGTTTCTGGCCCGGTAACGTGACGTGACAGTATGGTTACAGCAGGGACAGCGGGAGGAAGTCCTGGCATGCCAGGTCCAGGCCTGAGGGCACAGGCAAGCAGGGCCTGACGGCGTGTGGCAGACTTGCTTGATGGCTCTGGTGCCCAGCTCCTGCACCATGGGAACACGACAGCGCTCCAAGCTGGCTCCCAGTGCCCATCGTGGCTGGATGTGACACATGCCCACGCTCAGTGCAGAGGCGCGCATGGTAGCTATGGGCTAATGGGGCGAGGGCAGCACCCGGGGTGGCAGGGAGCAAGATGGAGCCGAGGGCTCTCATTGCTGTGTGCAGCCAAGCCCTCAGAGAGAGAGCACAGGGGAAGTGCCGACCACGCTGAGGCGTCCCCACGCGAGCAGACATGCGTCTCCCCTGCTGCACCCAGGCCAGCTGGGCCCTCAGCACGGGGCGGGAAGCCAAAGGTAGCGTGTGGGGACCCCACGCAGCTGAGGCACTGACTATCGCCATGGTGGGTGTGGGCTCTGCCCGGGAGCTGGGGTGCTAAGACCCCAAACTGCAGACTGTAGGAAGCTCTGATGACAGACTCGAGAACTGGCCACAGAGACGCAGCGAGAAAGAAGTGGCCCTTTCTGTGACCCGAGGACAGAGGAGGGTGGCTGCCCAGTGAGGCCACGTGCTGGTCCTGAGACTGCACCCGTGAGCCGGGCAGGACTGCCATCCTGGCTACGTGGGACCACTCGGCTGGGTGCTCCCGACAGGTGGGACTGGGGCTCGCCCTCGCCCCCAGCGGCTCAGCACGGTGCCATCCCTGCTGGCAGCAGGGCCTCTCACCGGGTGCAGATGACCATGCAGGCGATGCCTAGCAGCTGGAGCCGGTGCCGGGCCACCGGCCTCCGCCGCAGGGACCCGTGCACCCCCTCC